TTGGAATAGCAACAATGAGGGCCAAGAAATGATCCTCAAGACTACCAGAAGATTATCTAGCCGTCGTTCAACTTCCATACAACAACTGTGGGAAGGCAGCCAGTTACATCGATAATGTTTAGGCATGTCCAGATGAAATGACAATTAATCGAAGTAGCGAAGTTAGTAGATGCTTTTTCTCCAGGATGTAAGTTTTGTCGACGATATGTTACAGAAATCATTGTTCGAAAATCCGCAACATCCTCTACTTCAGTGTTATGTCGGAAGATGCAAAAGTGACCCCGATATTTGAAGCTTGACGCTCTGAAACGAAAAGGATAACGCTATGCTTACCTCTTTTGGCCATTTGAAGATTTCTCTGAACGCTTCCCCTCCATCTTTCGAATAATTCAAACCTCTAAAACACAATACAAACAATTGCAAATTTTGTATTTTTAAACCTCTGGAATACAATGTTGCAAATTTTGCAAATTTTTCCAGTGTTTTTAACGTACAAATCAGTACGAATGTGTGTCCCGTACGTTACGACCTCAAGATGCCTATGTTCAATTTATAAAGCAATTTCCCACTGTAAGAAAAATCACAGTAGGAAATAAGGGGCACATCTAAATTATCATTTGAAAGAAGAAATGTCGGGCAACAGTCTGTGTTTCGTCCCTTAGCTGTAAAAATAGGCCAAGTGCAGCATGTGGCTAGCCACCGATATCAGTAGACATGGGTTGTTAAATAAAGATTAGACAACAGTTTTACTAAACGGATTTTGATGCAACTACGTGCGAAATATGAGTGCAAATGAAAGATTGTGTGGTCGCACATAGTAAACATTCACGTAGAAATACAGCTTTTCACTCAGTTTGGTGCCCAAGCTAGATGAATGCCACCAATTTTGCAACTTGAAATTTGGTTTGTGTAGGTCTTGCACATTCATTCCAGTTTGCGCGAAAGACAAAAGCACATGGATTTAGCTCGAGTGTAGCAAAAGCCATTAGCAACCACTCGCCGGTAGGGCTGTCAAAGGTTGCTCAGAAGCAATCTGTTTATGCCAACGCATAAAGGACAAGACAAACCGAAGTGCTTGGTAGGGCAAGATAACAATACGAATAACCACATCGGGGCGATTGCATATGCTGGTTGGAAAAATAAATCCGTTGAATTTTTCTGGATTGACATTTTGCACATCCTTTGATTTGAAACAATCCAATTCTATAAGTATTGTGATTACCATTATTACATCATACCAAGATTGCCTGGATAAAAGGCATGGATGAACCAAGTAAGTGATATTACTTGGATGCTTCCACATGTTCGCGTAGTTATACGATGACCACATGACAGCTGCCAAAAAAAACTGTGACATCTGGCATCTGTTAAAAAAAAAATCTGTCATAAAAAGCCAGTAAATGATACACGGAAGTTACCATCGCCAGTGGATTGGAGAACTAAGGCGTATTCCGAATCGGTTCCTTGCGTCGCGAATTGCTCGCCATTGCCTGCAACGATTTCGTATTTTATCTGTATAACAAAAGTCGCGTTGAAGTTTGGTTAGTGTGCATCATGTGGTTCCCTGACGCAACGCTACCGCCCCAACTAGGCATTCTCTGCATTCGAAAAAGGGCCAAAATTCAGCCAGTATGAATCCAGGTTGCTAAACTCTAAAGTAGCAACCGTTCATATCACTAACGACCTCTTTGCTTCAGGTTTAATGCAAAAACGCACGGTCGCACCAGAAAGCAGAATGCAGCATCCAGGTTGACCCTAGAACCCTGGTACACTGCTCTTTCGGTACTGCTACGTTTCATCCATAAGAAATATTAATTTCGTCGTTCTTTTTGAGCAAAATAACGATGTTTACTTCTGGTACGTCTTGGTGTTTGATTTGGTTACGCATGCAGTTTGTTCTTTAATAGTTATTGAACTGAAAAGAGGAAAACACACAATGTTGGGAAAAAAATGCCAAAACTGCTTCTCCAGCGTAGATAACTGGTAAGTTGAGCTAAATGAGGGTAGATTCAATCGAAGAGGGCAGATTTTAAAGAAAACAGCGAAATTGATAGAAAGATGCTAAACCAGTATGGAAAGCAGAAAAAAGGATCCATAGACATCTGAATACGGCAAATGACATCTGAATAAGCATGATTGCGGCACGAAGATGCGTTTTTTGCGCTATTTCCCCACTACTTTATCACTGTTTTTATGCAACCGAAACATTTCTTACCAGTAAAAATATTTTCAACATTTTATTAGTTCTTTTAACTTTAAAATATTTTATTTATCTTATTGTATATATGCGAATTTCAACCCAGTCTGGAACGCACCAGGCATCAGTGCGATCATGCAATCTCGCACTAAGTTCACAGGTCGCTAATAGCAGGAATGATCCCTGCGCTGTAGCCTAACACTTAGGCTCATATCGGCAACGCTTTGGCCTTTTTCGGCATACAGGAGGAAGGGAGTCTGTTGGATGAAGGTACGTTTGCCTTTTGAAAAACGAAAAATGCAAATTTTTTGAAAAAATGCAAATTTCTAGTTCATTGAAAATTGAAAGTATTGCTCAGACGGTCGTTTGTCAAATAATCCATGTTCATTTA